AAAACATCTGCCCTGAAGATGAGGATAATGCTGACAGATCAACTTCCAGTTCATTGCACACCGCTCCCCCCCACAGAGCGGCGTGAAATTGATAAACAGATTTCAGAATGGTTAGAGAAACAAATCACCTCTCTGTCACTTTCTTCATGCCTTTATCCATTTTTTGCAGCAATTCCACTTTTTGTTTAATGGACATCGAAAAATGCTTTTGCTCTGTAGATCCTTTGGCAGCTCCAGAATTGGAAACTCTTTTTGACATAATCGAAAGTTCAAGCTTACTGTTTATAAAATTGCTCTAACAGTCTGCAAAAAATAATAAGCCGAATCCAGTTCGAAGATTAAGGAACAACGCAATCTGCAACATTAACTGAAAGAGATAATTAGATAACTTTAGCTTAGCTTATACCATCTGTTATACATTAAATGCGCATGCGTAAACACATTATGCGTTTATGCATGCGCAGACAGTTTGTAACTTTGAGGTCCAGATTATGGATGTCCGGATTAAAGACTTTTGACTGTAGTTAAGATTTCCTCCTTTCTTCCCCGTTCTCTCTTTTTTTGGGAGTGGGAGGGGATTCATTCTAAATTGCTAAAGTATTTAAGGTTTGTTGCTGTGATATTGTGCTAAGTATAGTCAGTAGTTTGTTATTCTGTTGATCTGGTCATTTCCCATTGTGTACAAATTATGTAGAGTTTTTATTATGTAAGATTAATATGCATGGTAATTATTTTTATCTTGTTTCTGAAAATGTTCAAAGTTAATAAGTTGAACAAAGTCTGCATATGGTTCTTATCTTTTAGAAGCTTCAATTGCAGTATTGAATGCTTGAATTCAGCTCTTATATGGGCCAACATGTATAGTTACACCTAAAAAGTATGGAAACACTTTTGTTAAACATTTTAAAGCATTGAAAGGGAGTATAAAGAAAAAGTTTTAAAGCTGGAAAGTTTTATGTCATGGTTGGAATCTCATCGTGGAAGATCTTTCTTTTCTCGATGATGATTATTTTTGAAGTTGTAGTGGGGGTAAAATCAAAGATTCAAACTTCCTGAAATAGGCTGTAATTCAAAATTGCAGTTTTTAAGAAATTAAAATGAAATTTAGGATGCTGTTTTTTCTTGGTTTATTAATACTTATCAGTTTTAACATACATAAAATATGCTTTATTTGCTGGTAAATAGCTGATTTTATTATTCTTATTGGTCTTGTCTGAATTGAAAATTTATTTAATTTTTTAAAAAATAAGTGAAGTATAGGCAAAAAATTATTAGTATCATTTAGCCCAATAGAGATTAAGAAATATTTACTAATAAACATTGGTAATTTGTTTGAGCCTAGGTTTTTGGTGACTGAACAGGGACTGCATAGTTTCTTTTATGATATTTCTAATGTGTACATTAATATGGGCCAGTTTCCGTAAGAAGGTCATCCTCAAAGGTGTAATTTTGAAGGGAAAAAGCCTTCAACTATTATGCTGTAATAAGCAACAGGAATAACATATAGTTGTCAAGCAGTCTGTTAGTTCTCAACCATTTTGTCTGGTTTTTTGACTCCCTCACTCCAAATTTCTGAATTTTTCTAAGAATAGTTTCACAAAGTAATATTGCCTGATAGTATTAGCAGTTGCCTTAAAGGGCAGTCTGAAGCTGTAAAAGCAAGCATTGCTTTATGAATTCAATTGCTTTATGAATAGCTTTTCTTAGGAACATTTATTTATACATGGATGGTAGGAAATTGACAGTTGCTCAAGCCATTTTAGAGAAAGTCTGTTGATACTGATGAGGAGGATATCTTGAATATTATTAAATTGAAGTGTTAAATGTAGTATCTCAAATTTCTAATTTTTCAAGTACTCAATTTGTCTAGTACATTGCATTTAGTTTGCTCTTCATTTTGTTATTTTCAGGTTTGAAGCTGTATTGCAGAATTATTTACATTTCTGTTAAAATATACATCTTGTACTGTTTTTATAGTAGCTGTTGTTTAAGTTTATTGTTTTTCAGAATATATTGCATTAAATAATGTTTCCTGCATTTAACTTATATATCTGTTTTAAGTTTGCACTTTGCATGTTAAACATTTTAGAAATGTATACTGAGTAATACTTCTTATAGCTAAAACGTTTATTTATTAACCATAACATTTACATTCACAATGCTTCCCCCCCCAAAAAAAAAGACATACAGTTAATAGATATAATCATGATAACTCTGTCATTTTTCCATTAAAATTGTTGGAAATTCTTCAGAAGCTTTAAATTTCAGGTCATTTTCTCATTTATCATTTAAAATTTGTTTGATTTTCAAAGATCCCATCTGATTTTTAACTCTCAGGGAATTAATAGCATCTTATGAGTGTTTCTTAGCATATATCGGATCTAAATAAGCATTTACTCACCTAATTAGATTTGTTGAGGTAAATAATGTAAAGCACCATAAATTAGAAAAACTTTAAAACATTTTTATATACATATAGAAACGTTTTTAATTTTCTCTTTAAATTTTTTAGCAGCTGAGAATTTTAAGTGTTTTCCCTTTAATTTTAAGATTGGACAAAGTTTTTTACATTGAAAAAAAAAAAAGCCTTTTAATTTATAAAGTACCGATTTTTCCGGAAGAAAGGCCGCATCAGCATAAACGGCACTTTTGAAAAAAATGGCGGGAAAAAAATTAAAATTGCACAGAAACGCCGCATCAGCGTAAACACCACAATAGATTAAATTGCGGGTGACGTCGTTGTGGCCCGTATAGATGCAAAATCTCAACCTAAGTCCTGATATATAACATATCAGTTAAGAAAAATGCATGAAATGAAACCATAACTCAAAAATAAATTTAAAGGTAAGAAATGTTGAAAATATATTTACGTTCACGTATATACTTATATTTACCCACCAAAGAAGTCCATATTTGTAATACTCAGACTATATTATAAAAAATGTTACAACAATGAAATATTAAATTTGGATGACAAAAGGAAATTTTAAATTTTACTTACAAAAGGAATTACAGCACACTATACATCATATGAAGACATCAAAATCTGATTCTTCACTATCTGAATTAAAAAGATTTAGTAAATCTTGATCTAAGTTCAAGTCTTCCAGATCGTCACATTGATCATCTTGGTTTACAGTCTCTTTATCTAAGGATATAATTTCAGCCTCTTTGAACCCTGCTATTATTGACGATGTTTTTACCGATTTCCACACACTTCCTATCCACTTTGCAACTTCTTCATAAGATGCTCTATGCATTTTACTGCTTTTGGTATACGTATGCAATTGGTTCACTCATCCAGCACTCCCACCGCTTTTGGAACTTCAGCTTTGAAGGATTTATTACCTGAACACAATCTAATGGTTGTAAGATTTTTGTCAAACCACCAGGAATTATTGCTACGGTCGTAGATAATTTATGACATCTGGTTTTCACTGACTCAAGTAAATGAGCATGCATGGAATCCATTATCAATAACCCTTTTGGTTTGTCATCGTATGCGGCACAAGCTAACGCACATGTAAATGACGTTCTTTCATGCCCCGTCATAAGCACAGATACAGTTTTTGCACCAATTTCATCAACAGTTCTGTTTGCAAGCTAATGGCGTTTCATCCATATTTATTATCTGTGACCAAAGAAGTTTTTTTGTCAATAATATCTGTCACATATTTTAGAAAAGATGCCTTTTTATCCTGCCAGTCCATTGGTAATTGTCGCCCGACTGTTGTTCTAGTACGCACAGAAATATTTTTTCTTTTCATAAATCTGCTACACCAGCAAGGCCCTCCTTTGAAATCATTTATGTTCATTTGTTTTGCTATAAATTTTGCTTGTAAGCGAATTTTTACGGTCGAAATTGCCATTCCCTTTCCTTGTTGCTTTTTTATTCAGTTTGCAAGGTTGGCCACCTTACAGTACCACTTCTTTTGGCTCGTTTCTGCTGTGGCATGTTTTTAATAAGTTCTTTTTCAGTTCTCCAATGTCGAATACATCTCTCTTCCACTTCAAACTCTCCAGCTGCTGCTCTATTTCCAATTTGTTCAGCACATGAAATTACATTAAGCTTAAAACCTGCAGTATAGCTTCTGTGCCGTTTAGGTGCAACTTTAAAAAATTTTCCACTTCCTTCTTACTTAAAAACCATCCAACAAGTACTCGTACTCAAACTGATGGGATCTGTATCTGGCAGAATGGCAAGAAAAATTGATTCATGCTGAAGGGGAAATAGTCAGAGTTTGTTATTGCAAGGCAGGTGGAGTCGTGTCTGCCTTTGAAAAAAATTGCAGAAAAGGCAGAGGTAGGGAGAGGATGGGTCCTGGAAGATTCATCGAATAGCAGAGGAGAGAGACTATTCAAACTGATGAGAATGTTGATTTGAAAGGGGGAAGAATGTTATTGTTCTGAGATCCCATTAGGGTGAATAAGACACGTAGGTCCGTTCAAGGGAAAGAATGTAAACAAAATAACGTTTGCAAAGAGCAACTGAGTGGTCTTTTGTGTGGGAACAGCACCCGTCTATGTACAATGACAAGGCCACCCAAACTATGTACGATGACCATCATAGGAAATATTTTAATTTTAGTGCATCTAAATGCCACATGGGTAGAAACGCCGCACCCACTGAAAATTTAAGTTTTAAACACGTAAACACCGCAGCATTTCTGCCGGAAATTATGGTAAGTACTATATATAGTCTGACATATATAGGTAGTGGCTTGTTTTGTTCAAAGAAAAGATTTTTGGTTCACAGGGAGAGTAAAAAAGGCAGTTTGAGAGATAAATAAAATGCTATGTTGTGTGTTGTAAGATAATTGTGTGGTGTAATTTTATTCAAAAGTAAATATTTTGGCTCTTTTTGAAAGAAGGGTTACTTTAATATTTTCTTCGCATATGAAAGATGTTTATCTATTTCTTTTTGTATATTTTATAGAATATAATATAAACAGTAAGATTGTGTTACATTTTCACCAAATTAATTCATATTCTTTTTCTAGATTCCAAAGAAAACGCATGTATCTAAGTCACCAAAAGAAGGAGCTAAATATGCGCGCCGGCAACAGAAGTGTCTGTCTCACCCATCGTACACCTATTCCTGTGAGCAGCATGTGAATAAAACACTTCTAAGAGATGGTATATCTATTAAAAGTGCTGTGAAAATTACTCATGAAACACCTGTTGAAACAGAAGTTTCATCCTTTGTTTCAAATGCTGATATTAATGCAGATGAGGCAATATTGTGCCATGAGGACATAAACCTCAACTAGCTGTTAAAAGGATTGCTGTAATCTTAGTGAATAATTATTTTGAATCTGTGATAGCATAAAGCTACTTCACTAAAACATTTTCACTTATATCTTTTACATTAGCGTTTGCTCAATATTCTGGTAGGAAAAAGTAATTTAGCATTTGAAATAATATTTTCTTTGCATATTTTGTGTGATGGGTTAGTAAAAAAATAATGTAGTTTGTTGATTAGAAAACTTCAGTTACTGTTCCAATACTGATTTTTATTTAAATTTTATGGTAGCCAAAATCAGTGTTGAATCTTAACAGCAAGAAATAAATGTAGGTAGTTGTTAAGTTTCTTATTTTTATATTTATGGATAAAAATCATTGCACAATTTAATATGCGTGTTTTGTTCATATAGTGTATGCTGTTGTTGAAATTGGACTATGCATAACAGTTAGTTATGATATGGCACTCCTTATCACATAGCTTCCTTTTTCAGTGCACTGTTTCTTATAATATTTTAAGAATAAGTATTTTTTTATTTAGATAAGCCTTCGGTAGATGTGGAATTTATGTATCCAGTGCTCAGATTAAGCCGGAATTGAGGTACTTATAATAAATGACTAATTATTATTCAAACTTAAGTTTCTCATTGCACAATAGAAGGAAGACAAAATTTCATGGAACAACATATCTTTAGCATGTTTTCTAATGTATCTTTAGCACATATAGCATTCAACATATCTTTAACATGTTTAAGAGGGAACAAATGCCAGTCTTATGATACATTGTGAATAATGTATAGCAGACACTAGTTAAACATTAAGCTATGCCAAAATGAGGCAATACTTGAAATAACTATAATATGGTTTTAAATGAAGAAAATATTGCTGCCAATGGTAAAGAAAAGTGGCAAAGAGGTTATTCTGTGGCCATGTGTTTAATAACCTTTGCAGCAAATGACTAATAAGAGTATTTTAAGGTTCAGAAAGATGCAAGCATTATTATTCTTGCATCTTTACCTGAATTAATCTCAGTAAGAATGCATTTGTTCATATTCTTTCTTAAAAATTACGTCTGTGCTATGTCTTTGGCATTTGTTATAACAGACTTCTTTATCATCGTGTGTTAGGTTCTCTGGGTCATTTGTGTATTGTATTTAACAAAAGTGAAAAAAAGAAAATGCTGCGATTTGTAAGATCATAACAGATTTCAAACTGCAGTTGAAAATATGTTAAAGTTTTTGGATTGGAAAGGTAAAAGATGAGCAAAGTACATAAAAAATTTGTAAGTATTGATGTTCCTTACATATTGTGTGCTTTTTGTAATGTAACATAACATGATAGCACTGCAAATAAATGTTATTTGTGCAGAAATTCAGGTAACATTTTGTTTTAAAGCTAAATTTCATAAATTATAATTGTTGAGAATGAGAATTCAATAACTAAATCATGGGTTCACATCTACATGAGGCAGGGTGTTTTATATTGTCCTGAAAGGCAAAAGTCATTTCAATTTCCAGAAAGACAGTTTATTGAAGCACAAATGCATGGACACAACAACCAAAATGTTCGTTTCAAAACTTGACCCAAAAGGCCACAAGCCACATTGATTGATCTGATTTTTATACTTTAGAAACTGACATTGTTACCCCAGCTTCGGTTAATTTCAGTTCACAACATCCTCCCTCCATTGAAGCTTGGGGAGAGTCTCAAACTTATAACAAGTACAATTGAATAAATCCAATCTTTTAAGTGCTTTCACACACCTACCAGCAGAAATATATATTTCTATTATTACATCGTTAGAAGACAGACTAGTCTTAACTTCAGAAGGTCCCTGAAAGCTGGAACCACATCTCTCCCTTTTTCTTATTTTCAGTTAACACTGTTCCAACCGCTTATAGCTCTAAAGGGAAGACCCGCTGCACTGGTCGCAAGACACTTCCATGTTGAGTGTGCCTTTGGTGTGAACTTTCCCATCCTGACCAGGAATCAGTTCAATAATCTTTACTATAGGCGAAAATAAACGCTTTTTATTATCATCACCAATTAAAACTATTTCACCAATTTTTGGTTCATGAGGGTTTTTCATGGCGTTTCTGAATGAGCTCACTGATATATTCTTTTCTAAAATGTTTCCTTAAATTACTAAAAAAAAAAATTTCCGATGTTATAATTTTTGGGAATCCAATTCATCAATATCCCTAACATTGAAACTGTGGTTTTCGATAAGAAACATAGCGGGTGTAGGAGGAATCAATTCCTGTGCATCCTCTGATACATATATTAATAGTCTACAATTAATGGTCGATTCAGTCACCAATTACAGTGTTCAAGCCTTCTTGATTCAATACCGATTTACCTAAAGCTTGCTTTAACATTTCTTTTACAATGCAAGCCAACCTTTCCCACCAGGCTGCTACGGGTGGTATAAATTTCCAAAATATGTATGAAACTTTCTCTTGAAATCTTATCCCAATTTAATTTAGAAAGATGATTATATGCGCTTCTGAAAGTCCTTCCATTGTCACAATAAACTATGCTTGGCCTTCCTCGCCTAACGATAAACTGCCTAAGCACCAAGTACCAACAGAAAAGGATCTGAATATAAAGAGTATACTAATTCCAAATGAATGGCTCAAAACGCAGCATAAGTAAATAATGCTATTCACACTTTTCCCTCAGTTTTCAAAAACAAAGACCTGGTCAAATCAATCCCTACAACTTTAAAAGCTATGTAATCTGAAACTCTGTCTGGGGGCAAAGGTTTAGGTTTGCTTGACATAGCTTTAACATTAAAACATTTACATCTCGGACAATTATATGAAATATTCTTAATTGTTTTCCTAGCTTTAGTTATCCAATATCTTTATTGTCATAGAGTTTACATTATTTGTATGCCAGCATGACAATTTTGATCAATAATTGAATAAATGGACATTTGTCCAGCAATAATGTTGGATATAAAAAGGATTCTTCATCATCTTGATGAATTATCATAGTTCTTATTCTTAAAATATTGCCCTTATCTTTAAACATAATAAATTTCAAAGATTTTACATCAGGTAAATAGTGGCTCTGAACTAAACAAATCAAACACTTTTCAGAATTTTCAATTTTAGGATAGGAAAGTTCAGGGTTATTACACTTAATGCAACTTTGCTGACAGTTATTCACAAATCTTAAAGCTGAAGCTAACACTTGAATCAGTTTATCAGAATTTGATATATTGTTTAGATGCCAAAGGGGTGGATCTTTTGCCAAATCAGTAGTCACCATTTTAATAATTTTTCTTTATATATCTAGTTCTTTAGGCTGACTATCAATTTCGCCAACTGACCAACACTCAGGATTTTCCTTTAGCCACGAAGGCTCTTCTCACCACTGAGGAGCAATCATGCTTTGAGCAGAATTGCCACGTGACAGTAAGTCACCAATATTCATACAATCCAGTACATGTTTCCGTACCTGAGGGTTTGCCAAATGATGAATTTAACATATTTTAAGCTTTTTTAAACAAGAATAAAGCAGCAATGGAGGCATCATGCTGAATTTCAAATGTTATTGCACAGAATAAGATACCATAAGAAGGCAGTGAAATAATAAAAACTAGAGAATATTAAATAGAAATAAACTAAAAAATAATAAAAACATTTTTAGAAGTTGCAGATGCATTACGTAATAGTTTCAAAAATAAAAAAATCTATTAAATCTGTATAGCTTTCTGCAAATACTGTAATAAGAAGGGTTGAGGTTATGAGTTCTGATGTTACCTCACAACTTAAAACTGACTTTGATCGCTGCAGCTATTTCTCCCTGCAATTTGACGAATCAACTGATATAGTTGATACAGCTTAGTTGACCGTTTTTGCTAGAATGCATTTTGATGATTTCTGAATAAGAAGGAAGCTAGATTATACTATTAAGAGGACAGGACATATTTTTAGTAATTAAAGACCTTATCAACTCTGAAAATATTCCTATAAATAAGTTGGTGGGCTTAGCAACTGATGGAGCTCCTATGGTGGTAGGCAGAGAGAAGCCTTGTGAAGTAAACTTTGTGTTGTAAAGACAACTGCTTTCCAAAATTTCTGTAATACACCAGGAGTCACTGTGTGGGAAGTTTTTAAGTATGAACAAAGTAAGGGTCTTCAACGCCTCTATTCAACAGAAAACAATACTTCCAAATTATTTCAGATTTCGGAAGTGAATTCAACAAATGCTTCCAGAAAAAAAGATATCAAAAGGATTTCAATTGTTGCACAGTTTGTAAAATTGACTATTATAGAGATTGATGCTCAAGTTTTCTCTACTTGTGTCATAGAGCATTTTGATTTTCAAGAAGACACTGCTACAGTGGAGTTGGAACTGATTGATTTTCAAAAAGGTAAAATCGCTTTTATCAAGCTATGAAAATATTTGGCCTCTTGTTCCTTAAGAAAAATATCCAATTTTGGTCTAGGTTTGCTTCAAAGTGAAGGCAATGATCAGTGCTATGTGTCTGTGTGAGATTTGTTTTCCAGTATGAAATTTATTAAAAATAAGTACAGACTCAGTGATGAAGACTTGAACAACTGTATTCGAATGGCAGCCACTACCTACTCTCCCAGCAGTAAAAAACTTGATGATAGCAAGAAAAAGCCAAGAAAAGAGTTTCATTCTTCTCATTAATGTTAATAAGTCTGATTTAAAAGTCTTATATTTGCTATTTGTTACTAATTGCACTTCAGTTTCTTTTTTATGTACAATTCAATTTCAGCTTCGTTTTGTTATACACAGTTTAATTAAAATAGATTTCATATTTATTAGAAATGTAAGTTTATAGGCAATAAACAAATATACATTTTTTAAAAAAAAGTTGTTAGTTCTTTTGGCTAGCGCACAGGATTTAAAAATGGTATGGTAGCTCAGAAACTTCATAAGTTTGGCGACCACTGATTAATGGCCACTGATTCATCTGAATTGAATGTTATACCATGAAAGAAATTTTGAAGAGAGCAAAACAAGTGAAAGTCTGAGCGCACAACATCAAGTGAGTATGATACGCGAGGCAATACTTTTCATCCAAACTCCAATTAATTTTTGTCAGGTGATCAAACTTGTGTGTGGTCTCATATCATAGGGATAGAATGTAGTTCTTATATGATTAATGAGCTGTGGAAGATTTTGGAATGGGGATTTGTTGAAACTGTCCAGTTAGCAACAGCACATGTTTGAACTGAATTGTTGGCTCATCGGTAGGAGCTTGGAAAAAAGCACACATAAGTTTAATCATTGACAAAAATTAATTGGAGTATGGGTGGAAAATGTAGCTACACAAATCATACTCACCTGAACATGTGCCCTCAGGCTTTCACTTGTTTTGCTGTTTTCAGAATTTCTTTTGTGATATAACATTTGATTCAGATGAAGCCATAAATCCTTGTTCAGTTTGCTGATAAAGTTAGGTTCTTTTGTGGATGAGGAATTATGAAACCCGTTAAAAGATAGGAAAAAGTTATCAAACAAAATGGGGTGCATGCTATTGACTGATCATTGTTCTTTATATAAATAAAGGACTTCTGAAGAGCATTGAAAAAATGCATCATGACTTTTCAGACAATCCAATATTCATTCAAAGGTGTTCTCAAAGCTAGTATTAGTAGAATACTGGACAGCAGGTCTTGCCGTCAGCCTAAGCTTCCTTTTGTGGCTCTCTTGGAGCTGCTCAACTGCAAATTCTCATAATGCTGATTGGATCTCATCTCTGTAGTGAGTCAGCACAATGATCTACAGTCTTGATTGGCTGCAGTTCTTTCCAATGGAATATATGGTATGAGTTCATTCATGTTACACGAAGCATAACACAACCTCTAAGACCCTCCTCCCTCCCAAAAGGAATAAATCTGATTTTTGAACAAAAAATCAGCATTTCAATCTGCTTTGTATACTACTTTTGCTTCGTGCATGCTTGCATATCGCAATGTGTTTTGCCTTTTTTACAAATTTCATGTTTGTTTTGAGTTTACTTCATGGTGTAACAATTTCAGTGAACATAAGTGTCTTTTCTGTGTCATATATTTCTTGGTATGGAATAATTGTTTGTATGCTGCATAAAGAGTTCTATTATTTAAATACATTTTTCTTATATCATTGAGTAGTTTTTCAATTAAAGTCAGAGAATGTTTAAGATATAATATTAGCATTTTAATGTTTCATATGTGCTCTGCTTTGCACGTTCTTATTAAATGTTTTAAAACATTTTGAATTCTATTTTTAACAATATTTTTTAAATACCATGTGTGTTGTTTGTAGGATTTCCCTCTGGCTTACTCAGAAAATATTCAATTTTAATTACATTAATTAGAAAAATCAAATATTTTAAAAGTATTTTTGGAGTTTGCCTGAGTACCAAAGTTTAGATGACATAAATTCAGATAGTTGGAAGTATAAACTATTTCTACATAGTTCTGTTTGTAATCTGCAGAGTCATTTTATTTTATGCATTTATGAAGAACATGTTTTGTACAAAGTGCTATTATATGTTTGGAACTAGTGTGCTTCTGTGAAACTTCCATTGCGGTTTATGGGACCCAGTTTGTAATTATAAAAGGCTTTATAAGAACTCGCATGTTTAATATCTAAATTTCTTTCTAAATAAATGTTTGCCAGTATTAACCCTTTTAAATCTTTCATGTTTTGCTAAGTACTGTGTACTTTCTGTTTTTTTTTTTTTTTTTTTTTTTCCATATATTTTTTATTTTACTGAATGCTGCAAACTATAACTAGTATTATTTAATGAATCTACAAGAAAAATGTAGAACTTTAATATGTAAAATTCACAGGAAGAATATGAGTATAATTTTCTACAGTTGACGTGTATTCAGCTTCGAGATAAATTGAAATTTCTAGTAATATTCCAGTACTTGATGATTCTTATATCGGTAACTTTTTTTAATTGGTTAAATGCACTTCTTTGTAGCATTCTAAACACATAAGTGATGTTAAAAGCTGTGTATGGTTATTTAATCAATAGAAATGGGAAGTTAGATATAATAGAACACCAGTTATATGAACTGTGATGTTATGAATCACTGTTTATCATTCCAGGTCAATTAGAATAATGTTTCTATAATTTACTTTTGTTTTCTTCATTGATTTAAATAATGTAAAACAATAATGCAATGTAGCACATATTTAGTTAGTTTAAATTCACTAAAATTACAAATGATATTGTTTACTTGTAAATAAAATAAATAAAATCATTTATTTTACATGAAATAGAAATGGGGTATATGTTGAGGCCAGTAAAAATTTCGTTGTTAGGGCAAACAAAATGTGTTTTGTATATTATTGGAAATAAAAATACTTTATACTTTTACTCTGAGTGGTTAATGAAAAAAAAATAGTATTCCCTTGCTCACACTTTAGTAAATACGGATATGATCTGCCTAAAAAAAGGTAATGCAGTTATTCAAACTTTTTGAAAAGCAAATGGACTGTGAACTCAGGTAACACAGATATTTTTAAATCACATGTAATTTTGTTCTGTAATTTTTTAATCACATTTATTTTAGCTTGTTAGATTCAACACTGGTTGTAATAGTTCAAAATTCTAATCAGATGTGAATCATTTGTTTATGATAATATAACAGATACAGCTGCATAATTCAGCATACTTACTGCTATAATAATGTGCAATAAGAAAATTTTGATGTTTTCCTATAAGTCTTTTTTCAAACATCCACCTTTGGTAGTGAAACTGGAGCTAGTTTTATATTATGATGTTTAACAACAAACTGTAATGCCTGTGCCATTTTTGTTTTTGTACCTATTTTTTAAAGTTTACTTAAAACAGTGCTACATATTTATAATAATGTAATATTAGTAATTTTAAGAAACCTGTTCTATTTACCTTTCCTCAAGATCTTCGAATGATTTTTGGAAGAACTGCACAGTTTGCTGTTGAAAATCTGAACAAAGATGTGTGCATCTATGTTTGGATTATATTTAAAATTCCTCTGGAAATAATTACAGCTTCTCATATACTTGGAAACATATTTAAATGAGAAATATATCCATTTTTCAAATCTCTCTTGATGTATCTTTTTTTTGGGGGGGGTGTTATTTTTTCTGCTCTTTCAATTTAAAACATTTCACACATTCCGGATCATTTAAACACACTATAATTAAATTATATAAGTGCTATCATGTATAAAAATTGTATGTAATGTTTTGTAAAAACTTTTTTCTTTTAGGTAAAACATACATTAAATTCTTATGCAATATGAAAAGGAACATGCCAGTTTAAAAATAGTTATAAAAACTGTCTAAGTTTGAGATCTTAAAAAAGCACCCTTTCAAAATCTATATCAGTTTAATATTACTTATTCACAAACTTTAAGTTTGGCACTATGTAATAGTAATCTTGCTATTAATCTTTTGCATTTAACAATGTTTTCTGTTTTCATTTTTATGCCTCATGTCTCTTATAAATTAGTGTGTCCTTTTTTTAATAAATGCAAAATACTTTAAAATTTATATTTAATTGCTTAACAGTATGAGATGTTGCTGGAAATTTTATATTAAATTTTATAGATTTTGGAAAGTAATTTTGTATTTTTCTGGGTTTTGTATTTCTTTTGTAAATTTCAGATGAATTAATCTCTCAGCTTATAAATAAAGACAGTTTTATAATCTTCAGAACCTTTATCAGTGCAGATTTATAACCAAAACTTTTATCAGTGCAAATAAAGTTCTGCTGTTAAAAACAGTAAAAAATGCTGGTAGAAAATCCTGTTTATATTATGCATGATTACTCTTCTTTCAACATTTGTAGTCAAGTGTAATATGTAGGAATGGCCTTAATAATATTTTCAAGTATTAAATGCAATATGGATTTTAGTCTTCATCTGACTCCAAGTTAAAGGTCCTTGTTAAAAACAGTAATTTCATAGGAAATGGAATTGATCTTTCTGTGGTAGAGAGAACATTTTTGAAACATTTAGTCATTACCTTCTTTCTAGCTTAATTTTCAAATGAAATCAGTAGATGTAAATTGCAGTATTTGTTCTCATTCATTTTTCATTTCCATTCATTATTCGTGATTTATTGTAATAGATATATGTAGATAAAAATGTAATTATAAACTGATTGAAGCAGTGTTCAATGATCTGCTTAAAAAGGTGTATTAAGAACAATTCATATATTTCAGAGTTACCTGTACTGCAGAAGCTCATCTCTTTATTTAGCATAGGGTAGTGTAACTCTTGGTACAACATTGTTTAGTAATACATTTTATGGAACTTTATGCTTGAGCATTATTGTCAATTCATTTCTTGAAATGCCATAATCACACACACACATTTCTTGAAAACAGCATTTTGTTATGACAGGCTTCTTGATGTAATGATATTTTCTTCCGTGCATTGTATTCTTATGCATGGTGTTTGAAAATACTTGAAGTGTTATTTAATTAGTCATTCTAATTTTTTTAAATAATTACAAAGCAAGGTAAAAAAAAATTATAAAAAGGTGTAAGAGTAATCTAAGAAGTATTAAATGAATATAAAACCCATAAAGTTTTTAGAGGAAAGTACAAGTAGTAAAATATTCTTTATGCTCTAATAATTTCAGTTCATAGCATTCTGTACCTTTATATGCAAAATTCGGGGAGATGTGCAAGAACAAATTTGTTGATGTAGATCGCTTTTCAATGCTTTTCGCTGATCAGAAGCATCTTTCCTTCAAACAAGTTTTTTAATCGAATGATAAAAACAAGTGTGTCGTTTTGGTGATTTATGTTTCATATTGGGTTAAAGGGCATTCAGTATCAAATTTGTAACTGTCATTATGAAACTGTTATTTATATCACTGTGAGTTTAAAGGTATGCATTTTTTTATTTAATTTTAGCATAATGTTAGGTTAGGTTAGGTTACTTAATTACGGCAAAGCCTCAAGAGCTATCTGCCTATGGGGAAGGATGCCTTTGTGGAGGACTTTCTAAGGGAAACTGACTCGTATATACATTACACATGGGGAAAACCACAAAAACACCCATGCAGCCAGCCCGTTCGCGGGATTCGAACCTCAGACCGAACTACCAGAGTTCAGCAACTTTACTGCTCGGCCGCTGGTGGGCTTTTAGCATAATGAATGTTTTACTAATCATAATTTGTTCTATTGGGATTGTTTAAAAAATTACTGTTCATACAAAATTTGATTCCTTAATTTGAGGAACTTTTTATTTGAAACTACACGTCTAGGAATAATATTTAAGAAATCAAAACCTGTAGCCACCTGTTTTGAATGCCTAATATCTCAAATAGCTATTTAAGACTGGTTTTTCATTATAAAATTCAAGAATATTTCTTTGAATATGTATTGCAATCCTAAAACAGAAGTTAATTCTACATTTGAAAACTATTTATTTTGATGGTATATGCTTGACTGAGCATTGCAAAATGAATCTCTCTTAGTTTATCTAAGCTGTATAAGTGCATAATTTTTGCTATAATGTGAACAAAATTTTGAGTAATCCATCAATAATGACTCAGTCAATATTTTTCTTTGTTGCTTATCATAAACAGTGTTAATCTGGCTCATTTATTTTTCATTAATGAGCAAAAATTTTAGGTACTTCATCTGTGAAATATATACTTCATCAATCAAAATGTGTTATCAAGGACATACATTTTGTATTGAAACTGATATCATGTTGCTGAGGTCATTTTAACAGGCTAATGAATCATTTTCCTTCACATCTTTTACTGCATTAAATCACATGTTTCATCATAGGCAAATAAACATATATCTGATTTTAGAAAGAATAAATATCATGAATTCTAGTTTTTATCTTTTTTTTGGGGGGGGATGATCTTTTCTCACTAAACTTCCATATAAAGAGCCAAAATTATGTATACTTCTAGTTCTGTTTTTATGTACATTTTAATTACATTTTGGGGTGAGAATCTTAAGTGTCATTTTACATGTTTAGTTTTGATCAAACATGTTTCTAATGTCACATTTTATGACTTTAATTCTGAATAAACATTTGTAGAATTTATAGCAAATGTTGTGCATTATGGTCACATTTTCGTAAAGTAGTTTTTACATTGAAAATATACTAACGATTCACATTATGCACTGAAGTCCCTAAAGTAAAACTGCATTAGCATAACTATAAGAGAGATCTGCTTTATGAAAATATTTACAAAATTTTTTATAATTCATAAAAAAGTGGCTACATTAAGTTTAGGAAAACCCGTAATTGTATTGAATTGTGTGGAATTACTGGTTTTACACTCTGTAGACACAGAAAGGAGTTTTCTGTCTTTCTCCTTTTCTTTTTTGAACTCAATCTATTGGTTGGAGTGAAATCTAAAATTTGGACTTGCATCAACATTTATGTGTCAGCACTTTAGTTTGAATGGAACTGCCATAAAAATCAATTTAAATGAGGAAAACAAACAGAGGTCTCATAAAAGTTTTTGGTAACAGCAGGTTCTTTTAAATAAACTAACTCTTTATGTGGGATTTTCAGTTTGAAACTTCTGTTTTATTTTTCATATTAATTGTAATTTTTCTTTCTTTCTTTCTTTTTTTTTTTTTTCATAGTTTTCAGGAATATAGATACTGCATAAAAATATAAGAAAAGGGTGTGTTTCATTATTCCCCATATTGTTGTATTTTAAAGATTACAATTATCTTATAATTCTTCTCAAGGTTTCTTTAGAACTAAGTAGCTTTATTATTTAATTCCATGGCCAGGTGCAAAATATTAGTAGGTGTTACTAATTTTTGAAAGGATGTGCACCTTGATATTCACACTCAAAGTGATAGGAGGGTTAGTTCTGCTATAATTGCATGCTAATGCAAGAAGACTATACGGCTTAAGTTGTGAAAAATCCAAATTTGTCTTTTCCGTCTTTGTGATAGGTCAGCTGCATTTTATCATCATTTCATAATTAATTTTGAAGATTACCATTATTTATTTCTGACTGAATATCACTATCCATGGCTCCAAAGTCACTCCTGTTAAATCATGGGATATTGTGAAAATATGTTGTTATTTTACAAAAAAATTCAATTTTCAAGCATTGTAAAAGATCATATAAAGTTGTATGGTTTTAAGGTGGCACATATTAATTAATAATAAGCTGTTGTTATATTAATTAATAATAAGCTGTTGTTATATTAATTAATAATAAGCTATGCCTTCTTCATGACATTTGAGAGAATGTGATCAATAGTATTTTATCTGAGTGGATCTTTCAGCTGTGT